CTAGTTCCGTCAACCTCCCCCAACAAAACCCTACCCTTCGGCGGAGCTTCGTCCGGGTTCCTCTCTGCAAGCAAAGAGTTCGACAGACACCCGACCCGGCAGCTCACAAAGCGCAGATACTACACTTTGATCCTAGCCACCGGGCCGAGCGGATAGATACGGGCTCAGAGATACCCACATTAAAAAGGCCTTGTGCCACATTCGATCCCCGTGGGTGGATTGATAAATACCATCTATAAAAAGAATGTATAAACATAAAAATGTCTTAAAACAATTGTCGGACTTTGTCTATTTCACTAATAATATTGCTGATTCTTCTTTGGATTTTATCTAGGAGCACACGGTAAATAGCAGAGACACTTCATGATATATGGCAGCAATATTTTAATCATGGATGAATGGTAGACTTATAGATATGTAAGATAGATTCTGGAAAGAAAAAGCGTCTCGCACGACACAGTGACCCGACTTTCTTAGCAGCTGATCTAGTAATGGATTCAGTATAGTCTTTCCACTTCATCGAGTTGCCACTGCATTTATATAGTGTATCCCGTATTGATGGGACACATTTTAAATGCAGTAGTCTTAGGTTATAAAAATGACATGAAATGCCAAATATATTTGTCACATAAATTATATACAAGAGTTCGCATACTTTGTCGAAGGCCTTTGCGTAGTCTATGAAACATAGGTATACGTTTTAGGCTTAATTTCCTCCGAGCCGTTTTTAATCATTGATCTGATAAAGCGGTTATATGCAGTTTAGAGATTTCTGAATAAGGGGGGTGGGTATGTATGGTTTCCATAAAAAATTCTAGATAGTCGTTGAAAATAGACTGGAAGAATATATATATATATAGATATTACTCCGCTCAAGATAGTCTTCGTTTTCACGGGGCTAAAACAAAATGTACTTCAAACCATGGAGGCTTGCACAGCATCCTGCTAATAGGCCAGATCTCTTTCACTGTCAAAATAAGGAGTGACAGAATTCAACTCGGAACTAATTTCAACTCGATTTAAAAACCCTGACACTAACACCTAACCCCTAACCCTAACCCTTAGTTCCGAGATGAAATTAGTTCCGAGTTGAAATTAATTCCGAGTTGAGATTAATTCCGAGTTGAAATTAATTCTGCATTCCAAAATAAGTCCCGTGAAAAGCGCGTTTGACCATTGATAACAGTGTTAGTCTTTGAGTATATAATTTTTTATTCAACCACACTAATCTCCACTTAAGAAAAAGAAGCCGTCCTCTTTCCTCGAAGAACGCTGTAAAATGTATCAATGGCTGGGTGCTTAAAACGTCAGCTCTACGTCCATGTATAATTAAAACTGATTATTAAGAATAACATTAATATTAACAATTTATTTCTCTACAAAACATCGTCAATTATTGTCGGTCAGAGTTTGCGTATGGACAACCCTAGAGCCTCCTGTCCGAAACATGGATTCTAAATTCTTGTCTACAACGTCTGAGAGAAACTATACGCTTTTTCCCCACGCTTGTAAAACCTGTTGTCAGTGATCTGTCACGCAAATCTGTATTCGGCGACCAAAGCACGTCCATATATGATCTGGATTGATGCATATGTTACACACGAGACCCGGGTTCGAATCTCACCATGGTCGATTTGTTAAGGAGGTGTCTTCTTGATAATACTGTCTTGGAAAACGATCACTGGGTGGGAAGAGCCTAGAAAACATAGCACGGGTTGATCCAAGCCTCCTGGGTGAAATTACATAGACGAAATTATTCAGAAACCCTCGATGACTGTGCTAGCGCAAAATCATAAGTCATCGTGACAGTGGGTTTCATAAAACCGGAGTTGTTGAAATAATGATCACACTAGTTTATATGTTCTATCCCCAAAACTGTAACTAAGGTCCGGTCAGCATAGTTGCAATATGAACCGAATGTTGGGTATGTGGACGTTAAAGATACACTATCTGCCCGAGCAGATATTATGTAGCCATTCTATCAGATGGGGAGATTGGAAATGCGCTGTCAGCCATTAGAATCTATGGACCGCAAACGTCGTTGCAACAAGAGAAAAAAAGGATTAGTCTATATGCTATTTTTTAAAAATTTTTGTCATTATTTTAATATTTAAAGGCGGTGTGGATGGACAAATAGCGATCTCTAGAATGGAATAGATAAATAAATTCCAATTTCGTTCGGTACAGTTTGCTTTCATTTTGAACTGACGCCTCTGGAAAATTCATAATTCTCTCGCATTTTATCAGCTATGGAAAAATAAGAGAGCAGTTGGTTTACTTTAGGCTTCCTTGTAAAGGCCATTCATTTTCGATAAAGGAAACTGTATGTTCGACAATTTTTCAAGTCAGAGATCTTTCTTTGGTGTTAGTGCAATATAACCCAGTGCTATCTGTTGCATGCTATTCAAGAGGAGACGTCCTTTTCGCAAAGAAGTACAATAAAGTGGAAATAGTCGACCTAGAACCGCGATGATATCACAGGAGCCATAGGAATTATCCAAACCTTTAACGTTCGAATACTCTCATCATCCAGAACGCTCCTAATTATTTTTACAATGATTAAAAATTGTTCTACAGAAGAGTGAAAATCAATTGCTTTTGTTATTGTCATATTGGACATAAACGAATAGAACCGTCCGTTCATGTAAATAATCGGAGTTGAGCAGAGTTAGCATTAGGTCTTAGCCGCGCGCGCTAACCTTTTAGTATTTGTCGAACTCTCTGCCTTCGGGCAGAGAGGAACCCAGATGAGGCTCTGCAGAAGGGAAGTCTCGTCTGTGGAGTTAGACAAATCCGACTCCGTCATTACGTGGTCTACGAGGAATTTATACCCGGGCCTACGGGCTCGGAAAACTCACGTTAAACTGGCCTTGTGCCACATCCCGCTCTGTGGGGAGCACGGGTAAATACCGAGTTAGCATTATGTTTTAGCTGCACATTAAGCTCTTAGTGCTTGTCGAACTCTCTGCCTCCGGACAGAGAGGAAGCCAGACGAGGCTATGCGGAATAGCAAAGTCTCGTCTGGGGAGGTAGACAAACCCGACCCCGTTATTACAGGGTCTACAGGGAATTTTTGCTTGGGCCTACGTGCTCGGCAAAAAACCACGTTAAACCGGCCTTGTGCCACATCCCGCTCCGTGGGTTGCTCTGGTAAATACCGTGTTGGCATTAGGTCAGTTGCTAAGTGTACCTTGCATGTAGTAAACCTTCTATATCATTACTTACCTACGAGTTTGTCTTCCTTATGTATTTTCCTCTGTTATCTCGAAAACACGAGATAAAACAGTTATAAAAGTGAAAAGTTACTCTCCTTTCTTTTCTTTCTTTCTTTTTTTTTTTTTAGATTGACGTCATTACTCTATTTTGTTCAGAACACCAACATCATTATCATCATCATCATCATCATCATCAGTCCCATGACCGGGTGTAGTCGGAGGAACACTGAGCGACTGAGAACTTGACCAGTTCACTTCATATATCTGGGTTGAAAGGCGTAGAGATATTCACGTCTTCGGCATGTACACCCGACAGAGCCGCCAGCCAATTCAAGTTTTAAGGGAAACGGGGACAAAATGGACAATTATACTTACAATCAGAAAGAGACAGATGACATTTCTGGCGCATACAATGGGGAAAGTGGGCTTGGAGAATTTAACATTCACGGGACGGGTAGCAGAGAGAAACCATGAATAAACTACCTAACAAGTTTATGTAAACGAATGGCAGGGACTTGGAGGAACGATAAAGGGACAAATGATGGCTAGAGCTACAAAGGGCGAGAAGTATATTGAAAGAAGAAGGAGAAGGAGATGGGGGAAAAGAAGAAGACGAAGGAGAAAGAAGAAGAACAACAACAACATGATGATGATGTTGATGATGATGAATTCATTTCGCGAGTATATTCTTTGAATTACGGTGGAGTATTGGATAGCGGCTCGGATTGAGGAATCTGGATTCGTGTCGAATCCATTACCATTCACTTTCCTGCTAATACCCTTGGCAATGGTATGAATCCTCTTCTTCTTCCCCCACTCCCAGCTATGGATAAATAGCAGGACAGACCGGCTTCTATAGCCTTGGATGGCAACTGGTATACCGCAGAAAGAAATGACAACCTACTGCGGGAAAAATCTGCCTCGTCAGTCATATATCAAAAGATACATGATCGCCTTAGCGTGTATGACACATGACACATAACTGACTGATGTCTCGGTGTTTAAAATTAAATCTCGTGATCTTGAATCCATCTCCAAGAAGTCACCTTCCACTTATATTGATAGGGATAAGAGTCAAGGATACATATTGTTGTCTGCATGAATGTCTAACAGAACTTAGCCATTTCTAGATGATCCACCATAAAGTAAGACATCGTGTGACATAACTTATCTTCCCAACACTACAATCTGAACATATGTTACGTTTTATCATTGGCGTTTTTGGTGGGAATCAAATAAATAATTACCTTCAGTTCAGTCAGCTTCTAACATATCTGTCTGAAGCTTTGCCTGATCTACGACCTTACACACTTCTGGCTCTTCATGGCGGTTTCTCGGGCCCTTAAAGAGAGTGTTGACAGTTCGAAGGTGCGGGGTTGATACAATGAATAACCTTACAACACCATTTACCACTGCTTTCGCTGACGTGAGGAATCCTCCAGACCCCAAAACCTATATCAACGACCCTTTCTTTTTGCACTCCATCAAAAAAAAAAAAAAAAAAAAAAAAAAAAAAAAGGTTGTTCCATCAGCATGCATATGTCATTTTTAAGGTTCACAACTAATTTGTTCTATTTAGAGGTCAGATTCACACAGTCTCCTGCATATTTGCGTTCAGTGACGTAAACAATTGGAAAGGTTGAATGTAGATATTTAGTAAGCTTACATTGGCCCTGAATCCCAGCAACTGCATGGATGGGAGAAGCATTACGTTGAGTCAGGCTTTCAAATGAGAAGAGTCAGCTTACTTTGGAAATCAGCACCTATTTCTGGCCACATTCTTAAATGGGTAACAGTCTTTCTAATTTCAAAAAGGTAATAAAGATAGAAAGTATATGTTTATCTAATCTTGGCAAAAAAAAAAAACAAACCTTCATGCCTGTAAAATCCGCATTCGAAATCCTGCTTTTTCACCTGATCTTCAACATCTGGCAACCGGGCACAAGTTAGATCTTCGTGAGTTTTTTCTATACATTATTTAATCAATTTAAATGATCCCAAATATGAGGATTGAACTCATAGCACAGAGATTGCTTATATCACCATGAAGATAATTATTCCAGTGATTAAAACATTATTTTTTCTGATGGGATCCTGTTCAAGGATAAAACTTATGGTTTGAATACTCAATAGTTTGTGAGATAAGTACGCAAATTAGTTCAGTTATGTGTCATGCGTGATACACGCTTAGGCGATCATGTATCTTTCGATACATGACTAACGAGGTAGATTTTTCCCCGCATAAGGTTGCCATTTCTTTCTAGAGTAGACCAGCTACCAACCCGGTCTGTCCTGCTATTTACCCTAGCTTTGAAGAAGACGATTCATACCTTTCCCAAGGGTACGCAGATCAACCTATTAAAAGGAATACTTTGGTTTAAAAACAATACTCTGGCTTTGTTTTATTGGAAAGAATTTGAATGATAATGTTTAACCTCTTGATTCGTTTTCTACGGCTTATCAACCATTTGCAGGTTATTTAAAGCCAGAAAATAGTTTTAGATTGTAAGATTTTTTTTACACAATAGTGCTTTAGTGAAACAAGTCTTACTAATTAACCCATAGCTGGGGGTGGAGAAGAGATGAATTCAGATGTTTCCCAAGGGCATTTTCGTGTAACAAACACAACTGGAATTGGAACTCGGCTCTCTGATTAACAATTCCGAGCCAGTATCACATCCAAGGTTACAGCATCTGGTAATCCGAAAACGGTCACCCATCTAGGCACTGACCATGCTTGACAGTGATCGTACGGGAACCGATATTTCAACGTCGTATGGCCGCAAGCCACCTTGCAAATTAGGCCCAAGACAATTTTTCTTCAGTACTCAATAAATTATCGTACCTTTAAAATTTGAAATCTGTTCATATTTAGTTCGCTTATTTTATCTATCTATCTATCTATCTATCTATCTATCTATATCGAAATTTTTCTATATTTCTGACATGACATATTGTAACTATTTACACTTTTGTTCGCTTATTTTATCTATCTATCTATCTATCTATCTATCTATCTATCTATCTATATCTAAATTTTTCTATATTTCTGAGATGAGATATTGTAACTATTTACACTTACATTGTTCCGACTATTGTCCCCATCTTTACTGTCATATTCCCGATGTTTCGGCCGTAGTACATTCCGACCTTCTTCAGGTGATATTTGTTTGAATTTTTAACCGAACACTTTATTTAGTTCACGAGGGTAGATTGTTCTAATTCCACGTGCCATGCATTTGCATATATTAGTTTTAGTTTATTCCCCTTGATAACTCAACTCTTCAAGTTTTCGTGCCCTCACAGGGAATTGGCCAGGTATTGTACTCTTTGAGTTAAGTCACTTTTGGATCAATCAACGAACGCTTTTATCCACTGGGTCATGTGACCTTAAATAGGACGCAGTAGTATAAATATATCTAAGTTTGTTACTATCTATCTATCTATACGACGAAATAGGCAAAGATCTACACGATTTCAACGGCCAAACCGGTGGAAGAGGGCGGAAGCAGTCGGGCCGGCGTAACCAAGACCTTGACAGGCCAAGCTTCCGACAGCCTGATGCAATCAGGATTGCCAGATCTAGATCTCGCCTGTCTCAATCCCCTTTGAGCCGCGAGGTAGGCGCTTCTGGTCAAGTGTGTGGGCTACTCTGACGTACAGAGTTTGTTATCTAAAATCAAATTCGAGCTAATGGCCTCGTCAAACTCTGATTTACAGCCATCTCCGCCACCGCTGCCAGGGAAGGAGTGAGGAATGGAATAGGGAGAGAGGATGACGATCCCGATGGCTGGATGCAAACGGGTGCTGACAATAACAAATAGGTGAACCAATAGTAGGCGGACAGTAGGTTGAATAGGGTTTGTGCTAAGGTTAAATTATAATTACGGTGTTAGTGTTATATTAAATTTTATAACTAAATTTATTTAAATTTAATGTTTTCTTTTCAGATAGTTCAAAGAACCCATAATAGCAAATAATTTAAATAATGATGCAAGAAAATGGCTGTTAAAAGAACATTGGAAGTATCAAAATGTTGAAAATGGGTTTAAATATTTGGTACTCAAACTCCAAAGAGACACACCATTTACCGCATCCGTGGCAAATTTGATGCCGCTGGCTCGATTCGTAATGCCCGCTAAAATTGGCCAACACAAAACAGTTTGCACAGAGGACCATAAGCAACTTGTTGCCGAAGTATTTATCATTTACTGTACACCGACTTTTGGTTCACCCCGTATATTTTCTACTACGTTCGTATCTATCTATTCCTCACGCACACACGCGTGCATACACGTTTATGTACATTTTACTGATGCATTTGTTAGGTAAGGAAGAAATTTAGACCGTGAAAACAAACTAAGATCTTCACCTAGCCTTGTTTAGCGACGCTGTAGATTAGCAACTGCAAGTTGACATTCTATCGGGGCCTGTAGAGTGCCAGATGCTAGGTTTTCCCCTAATCACTAATGGTTACGTTAGATGAGAGTTAATTTAACTCTTAATCACTTCATCCTACCATTAAAACGCGCTGTAAACTAGTACATTAATAAATGAAAATGAAAAGTTAAATGAAAGTCTAGTACAATTTTACTGAAAGACAAGTAAAATAAAAGTTACAACTAATTCTGTTTAATTACATTAAAAAAAAACTGTGTTAAATATATCTAGTTCTCTTTTCTCATTATATATCCCAGAATTTCAATTTTCTCTTTTAAGAACAATATAATTATTTTTGTTCGACTTTCTTCTGCTGCCTTTTAATAAATGTATTTTCATCCCACCCCGTATTTGCATACAGCGTGTCCATAGAGTTCGTGTGCACTTTAAAAAAATTCTAACTTTATTTGTATTTGCGATAGAAATAATCTGTAGAATTTTTTATAAAGTTTAATGTACCTAGTTTTAAGTATAGCTAAAATAACAGGTATTACTGTAAATTAGTTGACAAATGTTTTCCGTGAACAGCAAAATCGTATTACCCTTTGTATTGCTAATAATGGAGGACATGTGGAAACTTAAATAAAATTTCAATATAACCTTAAAAAATATAGATTTACTTCTTTCTAATCCTTTTTACAAATTATTTCAATCGCAAATACAAATTTAAGTTATAATGTTTTTAAAGTGCACGCGAACTTTATGGACACCCGATATTATATTTCGTAGTAAAAATATCGCCGACGCTTTTTACCTTCTTCGAGAGCATTGAACTTATCTTATTCTCATAGACAGTTCTGTACAAACTGAAAATAATTTTAAGACAAACGTGAGATATCTACTGAATATGCCGAATGCTTGAGAATTTGCTAGCTAAATGTAATAAGAAATTGCCTGCTCACCAAATAAAATAGCTGAGTTCAGTTGGTTTCATTGGTAAAAGTACTGGTTGGAAATTCAGCAATTTGTTCTCTGGCGTGAGAACATAGTCGAGGGCCCTCTTCCACTCTTCAGTCAACTTAATTACAGGTACGTGACATACGCTTGTCCATAATGTCTCTTTCGATTTATAACTGACGAAGCAGAAGACTTTCGCCCAGTACGTTGCCGTTTCTTTCTGCGATAGACTATTTGCCAACCAAGGCTATAGGGCCCAGTCTCTCCTGCTATTCAACCCATAGCTGGGCGATAAGAAAGGGAATTATACGTCTCCTAAGAATATTTGCGCGCAAGTGAATGCAACGAAGCCGACTGGAAGGCGAAATAGGATCCCCGGGTTCAGAAGTTCTTTTCGTCCCTATATATTCGTATTTCGCTTTATATATATATATATATATATATATATATATATATATATATATATATATATATATATATATATATATATATATATATATATATATATATATATATATATATATATATATATATATATATATTTTCCCCTAGTGTAGGATTGTTAATTAATCTGAAACTTTTAAAACCATTTATTTTCTTTTTCAACATCATCACTTGATAAGACACATAAGATTTTATAACATATTTATGTTATAATTTTTTTATAAAAAATAATTATATATATATATATATATATATATATATATGCTATTTTTCGTTAATTCTAGCTGTTCAGAAAGTGTTCAAGTATTACTGGTGTTATGACATTCCGCATATATATATGTGTGTTGTGATAGAAATTTTTGTGGGATTTGAGTAATCATTTATAGTAATTCATGGAGTCTAAAAGAATGAATTACTATAAATGGTTATTCAATTCCTCCCAGAATATCTATCACTTGAATATCAGCTGCTAATGGTCTGGAGTAAGCGGCTTGGCGAAAGAAGACGTCGCTCTTGTGGGCACAATCCGTTAGATTACGTAGGCTTGGATGAGTATCACCACGGAATTTAGTGAGTAGCGGCGTTATATGGACTCTAGTCATTTTCTTCCTCGTCATCGTGACCTGTTGGTCCAGTTGTATGATGCTTTCATTGGGTCGTAACGGTCAGGCTTCGATTTTCGGTGGTGGATGCTCAATGCTGATGAATCCCAAATAGAACGAAACGGCCGTCCAGTGCTTTCTGCATTCTGTTGAGGATTCCTCTAGACTTTATGGAGTACTATATATATATATATATATATATATATATATATATATGTGAAAAATATATAGAAAATAGGAAAGAACTCGTTAGGTAAATAATCCGAAGTTCTTGGAATCGTGTTTTTAAATAATATATATATATATATATATATATATATGAGGGTCATTCAATAAATAAGGTGAATGTTTCGGTATAAGGACTTCTAATACAGATAGAAGATTACTTTTTTTAATTTTTTTTTTTTTGTTTTACTTCTTTTTCACATGGATTTAATTTCTTTTGCTGATTAAAAAAAACAAACTTTGAGAGTTTTGGCGATTAACAAAGATGGCCGACCAAGAAGCATGCTCCAGGATTGAACAGCGGTCAGTTATCAAGTTTTTGGTTGCTGAAGGGTGCAAACCAGTTGAAATTCATAGGAGAATGTCAACTGTGTATGGTGCCACATGTTTCAGCCCAAAAAATGTCTACAAGTGGGCTAAATTGTTTAAAGAAGGACGGAGCAGTGTTGAGGATGAAAAAAGGCCTGGGAGGCCTACAGAAGTGAGGTCTCCTGAGGTGATTGAATCAGTCAATGACCTCATTCAGGCTGACAGAAGAACTACTGTGAACTGCTGAGGCAGGTCAAGAATGACATAAAGAACAAACGCAGGGGTCATCAGTCAGAAGGAGTCATCTTGCATCATGACAACGCCAGGCCACGCACAGCAGCCCAAACGGTGCAGACTATCAACGAGCTGGGCTGGGAACTGCTCCCTTATCCCCCTTACAGCCCAACCTTGCCCCATCAGACTTTCACCTGTTTGGTCCCTTGAAAGCGTTCAAGTTTAAAAGTGACGATGAAATCAAAAGTGTTGTGAGCGACTGGCTGAGACATCAGTCCAAAAGATTTTTACGTTGAGGGAATACGGAAGCTTGTGCACAGATGGGAAAAGTGTGTGACAGTGCTGGGAGACTACGTTGAAAAAAACAAAAAGTAAGCTTCTATCTGTATTAGAAGTCCTTAAACCGAAAAAATTCACCTTATTTATTGAATGACGCTCGTATATATATATATATATATATATATATATATATATATATATATATATATATATATATATATATAAGCAAATGTAAATGGATATAGATCCGACAGAATGAAGAGAAATTTGGAAAAAACAAACAAAAATCCTTAAATGCAATTATGTTGTTTAAAATGAATGAAATGTCGACGTCTGACGTTTCGGTTATCTGTTTTGGATAAGACTTGTTGTTTATGTCCATCGTCTTTGTCAAATTGAACTGAATTGTATTTCAATGAATATTGTCTTGAAAAAGGTTTATTAAACCGAAACGTCTTTTCTTTTCTTCATATATATATATATATATGGTATAAAAAATATCTTAGAAACTTGAGCACCGAGTAGTAACCCCTTATAGCTGACACCGTTTTCTTCAGCGGCCAAATACATCTCGTATCGAATAGCACCTCAACAGTAACCAAATGAGAAGTGTAGGTATCCGTACTAGAAAGTGGAAATGACAGAATTATTCAAGTGAGTTTCTACGTGGTAAACGCCAGAAACACAAATAATTTTTTTTAAAAAAACTTTGGCTGAAAATTGATCTGTGTGAAACAAAATGGTAAACAGTGATTGTAAGCCATTCGTAGAAAAAAGGGCTGATCGTACAAACCTTGCAATATGTTTCTGGAAATTAGGATGTTACTCAGTTTCAGAAGTTTCCGCTCAGCATGCTTGCAACATCTCTTGTGGGAGTTTTCTTATACAAAGCAGGACTTGCTAGTCCTAAAAAGATCTCATGATGGTAAGCAATCCCCAAGCAGACTACGTTGACAGCAATCTAAAACAAGTTACAAGAAATCTATATCAGTTTTGTGACAATGTATGTGGGTCAACAGCAGATCGTAAGAGTCACGTGGGTGTGCATAAGACCGGATAAACTATAATATCACACACAAGTTTTTCGTTTTGTATATATAGAGGAAAGCCTGAATAGGTCAAGGGGATATTTTGGTTTACTTATGTATTCAGTTCCGCTCATTCCCAAATTAGGGAGATGGCTTTTTTTCTGTAAAAAAGTAGCGGTCACTATATATGTTATGTTAAATATCTGGAAATGGAGTAAAAAAAATAATAATTAAAATAAAATAGTAATTAAAATAAAAAAAAGTAACAGTGATTTTAGAATAAGATTTTTATGCCTTACTGAGAATTTAATTTTCAAGAATAAACAGATTAATAAATTTTAGAAAAATATATATTTTTGCTATTTCTTGTAAGATCCGAAACACCTTCACCGCCACATACTGCACCGTCTCTTTCTCTATACACACAACGTTTATAGATAAACAAACACGTAAAATCGGTTAAAATTTGGCTCGCCTATCTGCGGTAGTTTCTCTTGTGTGGTCGTCTGGATAAGGGTGCTTCTACTCGTTTATATCGGATGTCTCTCGGGTGTAGAGAAATTGCTTAACTAGGAAATAAACAAGAAGAAAGAAACGAAAAAAAAATGTTGAAAACTTGAATAATATATACAGGGTGCGATGGGTAAATTGTCGCCACTTTATATCTTTAATTTCGTGTATACGCTTTGTTTTTTATTTTGTCGACTGTACAGTATAGCAGGGTCAGATGGGCACCGTCTGTAAGAAAAAAAAAAGCACCATGACGCAATTCATTCCGCCAGAAATTTGGAAACGGAATGCTGTACTGCTTATTTATATATATATATATATATATATATATATATATATATATATATATATATATATATA